TCCACTTTGTTCGGTGTCGCGCACTATGGACATTCTGAACGTGAAATTTATTTTTTTAATCCATAGAAATACTTCTTACAAGAATTTACCTATTATTTTTACTTACTTATATTTTTACGTAGTACAGATACGCTGCAGCCATATTATGCAACCGTAATAAATGACATTTGTCAAGGCAAACGAACTATGTCTATTTTATAAAGAATTGTGACTCTGCTATGCTAGGATGTCGATAAAAGTGAAATATTGAGCCGTTGGTATTTGTACTGCAGCTACGAGCTACGCATGCGATACGCTGAGTGCTGTGGACAATAGGGACTTTACTTTTATTGACAATTTTAAATACGGAACCCAGCTACTGTGTTGAAAATGTTGTTTTTATACGTGAAGCAAGCTTAAAACATAAGTTGATTTAAAGATAAAACTATCAATGAGTTAGTATTTGTAATGAATGTTCGTTTGGCAAGTATAATTTAAGTATCCATACTTAAATTATACTTGCCAAAACTTGTAACGAAAATCTAAGGCAATCTGATCTCTCTGAACAATCTAATAGAGATATGACTGAATTTAAGAAGAACTATATGGCTCCCGATAAGTGGCGGTAAACTATCTCGTTTTCTGGTGTCAAAAATATCCATGCTATATCGATAGTCCATCGGGACAGCAGCATTAAATAACTCACGTGTGCTGCGATCACCAAAACTCTTGCCTAACGTAATGATTAACTGCCACAGGACAAGCTCACTTCCAATATTGAACATTTAAAGGCCAGTATAGAGGAATATGAAGAACATTAAATACTGACTATTGTCGTGCCTAGTACCTCAACGTAAATGCTCAAAATTCTGTCTAGCGGGCGCTGTAAATATAGCAAACGTCACCTTTATTTGCGAATATGTCTTTATTTCGGGCATTATAGTTTTATTGTCTGTGTAAAATAATGCTGCATGAACTTTGTTGTCCGTATAAAAGATAGGTAAGCTTTACGTCCTTTCATGCTTAAATGTGTGATTTTAGTTCTTATTTATATTTGAGTAATAAAAATGATTTCCCATGGTTCAAAAGTGCGGTCACACAGACTAGATTTTTTTTTGTAGCTATAAGAAAAAATGGCGCAGATAAATTTATGGTAGCGGCGTACTCGTATGCATTATCTCCCTTAAGTTAAGAATCCTTCCTTTTTTGAAGTCTATGGGATAATTTTGTTACGATCTTGAGGTTCTTGACAATAAAAATTTCCGATAAAATTACCTAAATTAACACTTTAATTTTCTTTACACAAATTAAAACTTAAAACACCAATAATTAATCACACTGATTCACTTTATTCCGCTCCGAAGCTTCGCTTGTCTCGCCAAATTCAATACTTCCCCGATCGCATCTTGCAGCGCCTATAAATAGCACACTAGTACCGAATCATTCAGAACATTAAAGTAAATACGCGCGCCAATCGACAAATGCACCGAAAGTTCGAGACTCAGCTTCCAGAAGCTTAGTTCTTTAGTTTCGACAACAGATGGCGCTGTCGGTTGAAAGATTAGTGATGTCATTTTCTGGAAAGCTCTCCCCTCGCTCCGTTACCCGACACTAGATGGCGCTAGTGAGATGTCAACTTAGCCGACGTAACACTGCCCCCTCCTAAGACATGCTCGTCTCGAGCATTATCGGCCCCATAATAACGCGCCAGGCGATCCACATGGACGATCTTAGAGTCCCTCTTGCGCCTTCCTGTAACGGCTCCGCAATGTCAAGGGCTGTCCTATCCCATGGTGCACCAACATTGTACAATTTCGGTGTTAGTATAGTGTTGGCTCCTCTACTACGTGTCTGAGGTCCCCACACGGCTGCACAACTTGTACATGTACGACACCAAGCCTCGACATCGTCACGATAATGGACCGAGTAAAACTGTTCTCGGACCTTCAGCAGAGTTCGTTTAACTCCCAGATGGACTCTTGAACGACCATTATGGCACAGCTGTAGAACATTCGGCACTTTAGCTTTAGGGACAACCATTTGCAAACGACAGCTGTCTCCTCGACAATTGTCCCATTTACGGCACAGGACTCCATCCTGAATCAGCAAGCTGTCTCATTGGGCCCAATAGCTTTTCGTGGTTGAACTCATCGCTGAGACGTCGCTCCACTTAGGCTTGGTAGCACGGGCCTTCATCCATTCCAGAATCGGCTTGATGTCCAGATCTTCCTGCTGTGCATGTCGTAGGCTGTCCTTCCACTCGTTGCTGAGGTGGTCTGTCCTGAGCATCCTCACGGATACCACTTCCTTACTCTCTTGCCTAGTACAATGTTTCCAATCTTCAGGACAAGGTCTTCTTGACAATCCATCTGCGTTGCCATGAGATTTCCCGCTGCGATGTCTGATAGAAAACTCGTATCCCGGCTGCTGCTGGGCGGTGATGTTAGCCGCACTTCCCTTCTGCGATCGTTCATCTTCCCTTTCTAGGGTTCGCTTAGGGCAACTGGATCGAAGATGGCCCCTTTCCCCATAGTCATAGCACCTAGGGCTGTATCCTTTATTGTGGTCGCGAACCGTAACTGCAGCAACCTCCCTAGCGCGAGGGGAGCGATGATCCTGCTGCCGCCAGGTGGTGCCGTTAGCTGCACTACCCTCTCGAGATCGTTCAACTTCCCTTTCTAGGGTTCGCTTAGGGCAGCTGGATCGAAGATGGCCGTTTTCTCCACAGCCATAGCACCTAGGGCTGTATCCTCTGTTGCGGTCGCGAACTGTAGCTGCTGCAACCTCCCTGACGCGATGGGAACCATGATCCTGCCGCACGGCTTCCAACTCCAGTGCATGGACCAAGGCGTCCTTAAGCGTGTCGTGGTGCCCGAGCCTCACAGCAGCTCTGACTTCTAGGTCGCGGATGCCGTCGATAAATGTCTGCACCAGGTTCCCTTCAATGAGCGCAGGTACATACCGGTATGCTTTCCGCACCAGCTTCTCCACCTCTAGAGCCCACTGCTGCAGGTTTTCATTGATGCGCTGCACGCGATCTTTAAGCTGCGCACGAAAGACGTGTTCCAGGTGAGCGTCGCCATAACTCGCCTCCATGCCTCAAGGAGTTGCTCATAAGTCACTTCCTCCCCGAGAGCTTCCAGAACTGTTAAGGCCTGGTCGCGCAGGCCTAGTGTGAGAGCAGTCATGGCCTGACTTTTATTCCAGCCGTTCGCCTTCATAACAGCCTCAAACTGGATTTTGTAGGCTGACCAGGAAGAAGTCCCGTCGAACCGTGGCACTTTGAACCCACATAGCGAAGGTGTAGTAGCTACTACGGGAGCTGTAGTTCCATCACCCAGTTTGAGGTCGTCCAGCGTTTTCTTCACGTCAGCCACCACGTAATCAACCCGATTGTTCACTTGGTCGATTTGGGTTTTAGCTTCCTTGATTTGGGTTTCAGCTTCCGACAGGCGGTTGTCATGTTGAGCAACCCTATCCTTCACCTCCATTATCTCTTTTCCAAAGATAGCATGAAGATCCTTCATGAGGAGCATCTGCTCTTCCGACCGACGAGCCTGTTCCGCCTGCTGATCTTCCAACCGACGGGCCTGTTCCTCCTGTCGGCGGGCCTGGTCCTCCTGTCGGCGGGCCTGTTCCTCCTGTCCGCCCCGCAGCTGCTCTTCCAACCGACAGACGTATTCCTCCTGTTGGCGGGCCTGTTTCTCCTGCCGGCGAGCCTGTTCATCCTGTCAGCGAGCCTGTTACTCCTGCTGCTCTTTCAACCAACGGGCCTGCTCCTCCTGTCGGCGAGCCTGCTCCTGCAGAATCAACATCAGCAGCACCTAAGTCAGGTGCTGCAGATGTAGGAGCTACTGACGGGGCTGCAGCCGGCGGCTGGCCCTCCGACGTCTGTGGCGTTGCACCACCAAATCTTCTTTGGTCCGTCTCCTGCTGGCGTTGACTTCGGGTACGGAAATCCTCTGTTTCCTCCTTAGGTAATTTCGGCATGATTTAATTCCACTTCTGACACCAATTGTTACGAGCTTGAGGTTCGTGACAATAAAAATTGCCGATAGAATTACCTAAATTAACACTTTAATTTTCTTTACACAAATAAAAACTTAAAACACCAACAATTAATCACACTGATTCACTTTATTCCACTCCGAAGCTTCGCTTGTCTCGCTAAATTCAATACTTCCCCGATCGCATCTTGCAGCGCCTTTAAATACACACTAGTACCGAAACATCCATAACATTCAAGTAAATACGCGCGCCAACCGACAAAGCGCAGAAAGTTCGAGAGTCAGCTTCCAGAATTAATTAACTTTTCACTTCTTTTTATTTCCCGTTTGTAGATTGTCATATCACAACGATTTTATAGATGTTTCACTCCAAAAATGTCAAGCTCAAGAGTCACACTGTATCTTTCAATTAAAAATAGCTGTACTTAGTAACGCTGATGAGGATAACTTTTGGCTGTGTACGTTTGCCTTCTGATTTAGTAATTTACAATACAATCAATGAATAGTGCTATAAATATTTCATTGCAATTATTTTTTTTTCTGAAAGCATCATAATATTATCTCGCGCGTTTAAATTTAATAGCGGAGTTAAAAGTACCGACATTAAGCGGGTGGACGTGTTAAAAAGTGTACCGATCAAATTAATCGTTAAACGTTTCAAACATCGTTATTTAGTGGTATAGTGCAATAGTTGTGAGACTATAATAGTTTTTCAAAGTACATTGGTGCTTAGTTCTGATAAAAGTGATCTAAGTTAAGAAAAATTAGCAAAATCATTTTAAATTACCCTTTAACAAAACTTGAAGGACTATTGCAAATCGTACAAGGAGTTCAAAAATTTCATCGTATCTGCTCAAGGCGTGTTGATTGAACGGCCTAACGGTGTGCACAACAATTAAAAGTTAAAGCGACGGAGGATCGAGTCTCCTACACTGTAAATTGGAGTTAACGTACTTTTTGTACTTATAATTTGTATTACATTCTCTGCATTTTAACGCTTCATTCAATAATAAAATGGGCGAAGGGTGTGAAGCATGCAGAGCAAATATAAATGTTACTCAAAAACGAATAAAATGCACACAATGTTCGCGTAACTACCATTCAGAATGCATAAATTTTAATAATGATACTGCTTCAAGATCTGAATGGAAGTGTCCCGCTTGCACTGCTTCTTGTCGAAAAGGTGGTGATAACAGTAACACTCCGATACGAACTAATAAGTCTCCTTCCAACATAGTTTACAATAAAACTACGTATAGACCATCAAACACAAGTTCTGACCAGCCTACATGTATCACTGAGACCAATAGTTGCTAACCATATAATTTGGAATTAATTAATAGCATAGAGTTACTGTTAGACAAAAAACTCAGTGCTATAAAATTCGATATAATTCAAGAGTTGAAATTATCACTTATCACTGAAATAAAAAATGAAATAACTAGTAACCTTAAACAGCTGGAAGAATCGCATAACAGTTTGCTAAATGAATACAACAATCTTAAAAGTAATTTTGAAAAACTTCAACAAAATGTCCAGAATGGCGAAATGAAACTGGCGGATTTATGTGCGCAAATAAAAAAAGAACAACAATGGCGTAGACTTTCAAACTTAGAGATTGTTGGTTTACCAGAAAACTCAAAAGAATCAACTTCTGAATTAATAATCAAAATAGCCAGCTATGCAGGAATAAAGCTTACAGATGACCAAATTGTTTTTGCGCACCGAGTTCAGCCTATGCAGAATGTTGGAGGTTGCAAATTGCAGAATCGCACTATTAAAGATAATATTATTTCAGAGCTCCGCAAAACCAAAGGAATTACTACTTCCGATATTGGACTGGGTGGTCCAGCCAAAAGGTGAACACCTGACCCCTGAGAATAAGCAACTCATGAAAATAGTAAAATCACGAGCAATGGCCAAATCATATAAGTTTGTCTTGGTTAGAAACTGCCACATTTTTTTAAGGAAAAAAGAGGAGTCTCCCGCTATCACTATAAATTCCGAAAAAGATTTATTAAAAATTGTATGATAAATAAAAAAATAAATGTAAAAAAAGATAATTGTTACATATTTAACACATAAAACAACATTCACGGTTTATACATCCATTATCACATACATCAAAATCTCACACTCACACACATCTTTCAAAATTTACAGTAATACTGAATATTTACACCAATATGCCCTACAAAAGAAATGTATAAGCTACCATTTCTTACCTTTTATAAAAATAGAATTCCTGTCTGTTGCAAAACCATTCCTCATGACTCCTCAACCTGTATTATTTCTGTTACATAATATAATTATTATCTACATTACTATTTATTACTATGATAAATATAATTTTTATAAGTTAATTACAACACAATGGTACCTAAATCATGCTAAAAGTGCCTTATAACTCAATGTACATATTCTATCAAAACGTCCGTGGCTTGCGAACTAAAACTAGGCAATTTCGAGACAGTATAATTTGTAATAACTTCAACACAATACTCACTACAGAAACTTGGTTGACTGATGGTATTTGCAACGGTGAATTATGTGACAATAGGTACGAAATATTTAGGTATGATAGAAATAAAACATCTTCGCATAAAATGAAGGGTGGCGGGGGGGTCATGATTTGTACGTATACATAATTACAAGCTCAAGAACGGACGGAATGGATGTATAGAGATCTCGAATGTTTGTGGGTAACAGTACCAGGAAAATATTTAATTTGTCAAGACAGACGTAATTTAAACATTGGAGTTGTTTATATACCGCCTGCTAATTATCAATCAAAGCATTTAGATAATTTTACAGAAATGCTCACAAAAATCATAACTCAATGTCCGAATGATCATTTCAAACTGCTGGCCGTATGAGGACGCTCAAGGTCGCTCAGCGAGCGATGGAAAGGGCTATGCTCGGAGTTTCTCTGCGTGATAGACTCAGAAATGAGGATATCCGCAGTAAAACCAGAGTGACCGACATAGCCCAAAGGATTAGTAAGCTGAAGTGGCAATGGGCCGGCCATATAGCTGGAAGAACCGATAACCGATGGAGAAGAAAGGTTCTCGAGTGGCAGCCTCGTACCGGTAGGCGTAGTGTAGGGCGACCCCCCACTAGATGGAGTGACGACCTGGTAAGATATGCAGGAAGTCGATGGATGCAGGTGGCTCAGGACCGTGCTTTTGTGGCATTACTTGGGGGAGGCCTATGTTCAGCAGTGGACTTGTGAAGGGCTGTAATGATGATAACGATGATGAATAAAAAATAAAGATTAGTGTTTATTTTTGTTTTTAAATATGATTTTTATTATGAGGTTTTCTTTAAATTGTATTTTTTATGATTTTCTGAAAGTACTCGTATGTATGAAAATGTGATGTAACTCACTAAGTACAGAGGTTTAATCTTTACATAACATCACTGTTTGCCGCCAAAACTTTAAATTTTAACTGACTTCAAAGGCAGTTGTATATTTCTGAACGTTCAAAATGCCTTACACGGAAATATCAACCGTAATCAGTGCATTATAAGAGTTTATTTCTCGTAACACAAAATGGATCTAAGTGGAAAGTTCCTACTGAGTAACGTTAATTTAAACCATATTTTTTTATTTTTTACCGGTGTAAATAAATTTTGAATTTGGCAACAAGAACTCAAAGTGTCATAACTGTCAGCTATTTTGCAAACCGTGACGAGACGCTAAATAAGTGTGGATGTTAGTTTGGTGCAGAAGAGATTTCACTGATTAACGGGAATATTCAAGGCATAATCAAGGTAAGAATAATTACTTAAGTGTTTTTGTGTTATATTTTAGAAAGCTCAAGATTTAAACTCTAAATATATCATAAAGTTTATGCAAAGGCACAAATAATAACCTGTGAAATCACTTTTGTATTATCACTCACATAGATTGAGTTACGTCGGCTGAGAAACATTTCACTCATTGGAATGAATTTGTAACTCAGTGGAAGGTAAAGGCGTGTTCAAATTGTAAATTGACTAGCGACCCACCCCGGCTTCGCGCGGGAGCAATTCGGAGTTGTAATTTTATATTGAAACAAAAAATTTATATGTTAGTTACATAGACGTAGTGTAAGGTTGTAAGCCCACATAGCGGACATTCCCCGTTTTTCTTATTTTAAGCATTTTATACCCGTCGTAACTTCTTAACGAAAGATCCGATTTTAATAATTTAAAACAAAATGTACATATATGTTCTTACATGATCATCCTTGACTGTGATTTTATGTAAGTATACCCAATAGTTTTGCAGCGCACGTCAAACAATTATTTTTTAAGTAGTTTAAGTTTAAGTTTGATACTTTAATATATTACGTAATTAGCCTACGCTAGTCGCTAAAATTTGTCTTTTTATATATGTAAGAATTAATTAAATTGGTTTACATAATTAAAACAAGCAGATAAATAATCAGATCTTAGACTAGTAGCATAGCATATTAGTTCAGATTTTAGACTAATAACATTCATAACTACTACTTGGTAGGTTTTTTATTTTTCACATCTGTTTAGTTTTCAAGCGATTTTAATAAAACCAAAGGAGAGACTTATAAATAACAATTTTTTATTAAAAATAAATTCAAATGTTTGAGGCGATTTAGACCAATTTCACCCAACCGCATAGCAGAAAATTTTGTTGTTTCGCGACAAACGTATCCCAACGGTGGGGTGAAGAATGAACCCAGCATAAGGCGACGGTGGAGTCGGAAAAGGCAAATATCCCTTCTATGTGAACTCTATCCCTACATGCACTGATAACTGCGGTAATAAGCTTGGTGAGTACTAATATTGCGCAAAGCTCTAAGCGCGCCAGAGAGATAACTTTACAGGGGGAGACTCTCGACTTAGAACTAATGAGGCTAATCGAATTTCTACCATTATTCTGAATGTGGAAATATACAACGCCCCCGTAAGCCTTTTCGCTGGCGTCTGCAAACCCAACGACCGTTTCGACGCTATTTCTATCTACGTTTATATGACGCGGTATTTTAATTTCTCTTAGTAAAGGAAGTTCCTCTCTAAAGCGCTGCCACAACCGAACAATGCTGTCAGGCGGCGAGTCATCCCAATCGCATTCAAATAACCAAAGTTGTTTAATCAAAAGCTTAGCGTATAATACCACTGAAGCTACGAAACCCATGACATCCCATAATCTAGCAACGCATGACAGTATTGTGCGCTTTATGCATTTCTCTACGGGCGGATTTACCTTAAGGCTAAACACGTCGGACTCTGGTGACCAACACAGACCGAGCACCTTGTATGTATCAGAATCGTCGAATTCCTCTATCGCCAAAAGACGGTGTGATAGTGGGATTGTATCTAAAACCGGACGCGAATTACTAGTCCACTTCACAAGATCGAATTGATCCGATTTCATGAGCTTTATAACTTCGGCGGTGGTTAGGGTAGCCTCCTCCACGCTATCGACCGAGAATACAAAATCATCCATATATAAACCGCTCTGAATTGCCCTCTTAGCTTTAGGGTAAGAGGGACCTTCATCGTGGGCGAGCTGTTTCACCGTGCGTAACGCATGAAATGGGCTCGACTTTAAACCAAAACAAACGCGGTTAAATTCAAACACCATTAGAGGTTCCTTTGGGTTGAAACGATATAAAATGCGTTGGAATCTACGGTCGCATTCACGGACCCCTATGCAAAGAAACATTTGGTGAATATCGGCGGATAGTGCTATACTAAACAAACAAAAATTGGCTATTATATTAAATAAACTGCCCTGTAAATTTTGCCCACTATAGAGGATATCGTTAAGCGACAGGTGAGTGCTAGTTTTAGCACTAGCGTCGAGCACTACATCGTAACTTAGATGTAAGTTTGTCCTACCTAATGACCCCGTGGTGTGGTATGAAATACGACGGTGTGTCTTCGTAGTTATCTAATTTCGAAGCCACGAGTGATATGTAACCTTCTCTTATATATTCGTTAATGACGCCGTCGTAAGCTTCCTTTAACTGGGGTGAAGCGAGCATCCTACGCTCCAAGCTGTAGAAACGTTTTTCCGCCATTTGACGCGAATCGCCGAGAGATAAAACATCTCCTTTAAAGGGTAGCGCTACACTATATCTACCATCGCGATCACGAACGGTCGTGCGGACGTAAATTTCCTCGCATAACCTGTCATCTGAGCTAGCTATGGGTGGGACGTTCACCTCCTCCATCTCCCAAAATTTGCGGACTAACGACTCGAGCGGTTTAACAGCCATACCACAATAAGAGGTTGCCGAAATACTATCTATGATGGGGGGCGGAGCCAATGATAACATAGCCCAATACGGTTTCTAGTGCGTAAGGCGCAGTATGCGAGGAGTTGCCCCTGACCTTATTGTTTAACAAAAGATGAGGGGAAAAGCAATGCTCCAATGAGCATGTCTATGTTTCCAGGAACGGCGTAAGTGTCGTCCGCTAGAGTCAAATTTTTAAATTCAATCATTGCCGAGGTGTCAACCGAAACGGTTGGCAGCCGTTCAGTGACCCTATACACTACTAGTGCATTTATATCAAAGTTAACATTACGATCTATCCTAGAATAAAATTTTAAATTTATATATCCCTGGGTAGCTTTACTGGTACCTCCGATGCCTTTGACTACAGGACATGAAAGTGACCTATTTATTACTAAGCCTAAGCGCTGACAACATTGTCGCGTTATAAAGCTATTTTGGGCTCCGCTGTCAGCAGTGCACGGACGCTTTGTTCGTTTCCACGCGAATCCCTAACCAAAATACGCGCCGTACCCAGTAACACGGTTGAAGGAGGTTGTGCTCCCATATTTGCCAATGAGCACAGAGCGACATCACCAGGTCGACCGCTAGAATCGTTGA